AAATTGTATACAAAATGAACAGATAAATTATAAAAGAAAGTCTGTACATAATGAATAAAACACGTAATCAAAACTATAAAATGTGGAAAAAATTTTTTTTTTCCAAAACAATATGTACAAAGCACAGAAGAAAACCGCTATTTACAAGATGTACAAAAATAAACAATCTCTTTACAATATTTACAAGATGAAAGAATCTCAATTGCATTATGTACAACTTAACAGGATTAAATACAACAAAAGGTAAAATGCTAATTCTATCCTCTCACTCTCAATTGTAAAAAGGGGCGAAACATCAGGTCGCCAGCGACTGTAGAACTCCCCAGTTCCCAGTAGCTGGAAATCTGCCTCAAGACGGAGTAACAGCTTAAACTTGACCTTATAGTATATGCCCTGAAAAGTCATGGGAACTCGCTCATAAACGGAGCGGTTCCTCACGAGCCAGATGACCTATTTACAGAGCAAGATGACATAGTGAAACTGAAAGGCCAAGTGACTATGAACCGGGGAGGGGACAAGGTAAAGGACAGCCCTGGCCGAGATTGGCGGGATACGGAAGAGCCTAGAGACAAATCCCCACACCTGCACCGATATGGGACACAGGACTAAAAGGTGGAGGATAGACTCTACCCGTGCATGGCAGATAGGACACGACTCGGTAGCACTGATGTTAAACAGGAACAGACGTTCTCTCACAGGCAGAATGTTGTGGACAACACGCCAGCTGAAGGCCTGTAAGTATTGGTCAACATGGCGCATCGTCACACGGCGCCAAATAACATCCCAAAGAAGTGCAGGGTGGTGTTGCTCAATCCTATGGGATGGATTTGGGGCCAGCACTGTATAGAAGGAACGTGAGTCCGTGGGTAAACCAAGAGATGGGGAAGAACCTCGACTTCGTCGGAGTGCTGCCACAACCTCAGTATACCACAAAGGGGGCTCAAAACACACTGGTGTGTTAAGAGCAATGACAGAGCCAAAATCCCTGATGCCCAAACCCAGAGAGAATCGTAGGAGTGGACAACAGGGATGTCCCACCCAAGATAAACCACGCACAGTTACAGCCAGAAGTAAGGAGAGACACCGGGAGCGCACACAAGGGATCCCCAGACCCCCCCTGTGGAGTGGCAAGGTTAAAGACAACCGAGCGACCAGTT